TGTCGGTTTCCTACATTCAGAGGTTTTGTGGCGCAAATTGACCACCTCGTCTGTTTAGGTTTTGCCTACAGTTCCTCCATTTTTCTTTCTTGTGCTTTTCGCAATTGTGCTATTGTCGTGTATTTCTGTGCACATAAAAAGTATCTTATTAATATTTCTCAAGTTGACCCAACTTGTTTTTACCATGGTCCTTCCTTGACATGATCATAGGACGTCACAAATTTTTAAGACGTACAAAACTGATTTTAATCCTCAATAACTTATTTGTTAACATTCTGGAGTGCCCATGTTGGACCCGCCGGCTTCAAGCCTAGGGCCTAAGGTGCCTGATCAGCGCTAAGGGAAAAATGTGTCTGAAAAATAAGCACATGTGTCATTGAAATTGAATGTCTCAAAGAACTTTGCATCGACCATAAGCAAAGCAATAATGTAAATTCGCAAACCGCCGCCTACTCGGCCGCGACCGTATTCTTTCGCTGCGTGCGGTGGCCGGGCCGCAAGCACCCCTATGGGGCGAGGGACGCCGCCGTGGCCGTGGCCGCGAACCACGAGCCTCCTGGGCCGGGCGCCGCGGGTAACCGGTTGGCTAATTGTTGAAGAAAGCATCGTGTCGTAATGCGGGGGCTTGTGCCCCGCGGGGGGTACCGAGAGGTGGGAGAGGAGAGAGGGGTAGCGGTCAGGACGACGCAAGACAAAGGACGTGTCGCCTGCAGGGAAAGGAACGGCGGTGGGGGAGATAGAGAATTCGGGGTGTACTTTGCGACTACATTGCGTCGTCGATTAGGAAGCTGCAAACTCAATCGGCGGCGCATAAAATACATTTTTTATTCCTTGAAAAAAAAAGTTATTATCTTTTTTTTGACAAGTTTTATCTATACTTTTATTTTTTTATTCTTTCATCCTAGCAGATCTGTACTTGCGTCCAGCGGGAGTATGTTAATATCTAGCTAGGCTCGCTGTCCCTCTACCCACCGTCCTCTGCTTCTCCATCCCCCTGACGCCCCCCGCCCAGCACTGGCGCCCCTCCACCCCAGAGCAGCGCCCTTCACCCTCCCCCCTCCAGTCCCCTCTCTCCATCACCTCTCTCTTTCTCTCTCCTCCCAAATGCATCCATACATTGGAAATAACGTGCGATAGTTCCAGGCGCGGGGGCGGGGGTGGGGATCAGCCGAAGGGCGGGGTGGTTTTGCGGAGGGGAGAACGGACAGATTCGACATGTATGGGAGGCGAGAGCGACTGGTCGAGAGAAAGAGAGAGGGAAAGAGAGAGAGAGAGAGAGAGAGAGAGAGAGAGAACGGAGAGAGTGAAGAGGAAAGAGGTGACGGAGAGGAATAGTGAATTATAGTGGGAATGGCAGAGAACGCGAGAGTAGGGGCCGAGTGAGAACGGAAGAGAGGGGTGGGGGTGGAAAGGGACGGCGAGAGGACAGAGAGAGAGAGAGAGAGAGAGAGAGAGAGAGAGAGAGAGAGAGAGAGAGAGAGAGAGAGAGAGAGAAAGAGGGGGTGGTGGTGGTGAAAGAGGGTGGCAAAGGGGTGGATGTGTGCAGTATGCACCGACGTCGCGCTGCAGTTTTGCATAGAATTGCATACGAAGAGGACGACAGAACGGCTGGAGGGGAGGGAGGGCGCACTGGCGAGCCCCCAGCCCTGCGTGGCCCGACTGACCGGCGAGAGAGGGGGGCGAGGGGTCTCTCTCTCGCTCTTGTTGTTGGTGTTGTTGTTGTTGGTGCTGCTGCCTGTGTTGTTGTCGCCTCCCCCGCCCCGTAGTGTAGTGCGGGCAAAAAATTCAATTTGGTGGGTGTTTGGCGTGCGCGAAGTTCAGTGCAGCGCGGGCCACGATGCGAGGCGAGCACGCCGTCGCCGACCGCGGGATGCAGGTGCGGACCTAACCTCTCTCTGTCTCCACGGAGTACGTGTATGTGTGTGCGTGCGTGCGTGTGTGTGTCTGCGAGTGCGAGGAGAGGACGTAACCGCGCGTGTGCCCGCCCGCCCGTCCGTCAGACGGCGCGCGGCGTGCAGGGCAGCGTGAGTGTCGGGCGGCGTGCCGGCGGGCCGGCGGCCGCTCCCCGGCGAGCCCGTGGAGCGCGCGCCGCAGCCCGCGCCGCGCGACGCGCGACGCTAACCAGGAGGTGTGTGTGTGTGTCGGTGTTGCAGATTGCTCGGAGCGCTGCTGTGTCGGCCGCGGTGCGGGAGGCCCTGCGCGGCGGCGCCTGATGGCAGCAGCGAGTCGGGGGCCGCCAGGACGACCTCGACCACGACCACGGCGACGCAGCTGAGCGGCCGGAGGTAGCTGCTCCCCGCCGCGCAGCCCGCGCGCTCACCGTCAAGAAGCTCCTGCTCTTCCCTCCCCGCGTCCGCACCTACCCCGCGCGCTCGCGTCCGGCTCCACCCTTCCCCGCCCCCG